TGGGAGCGCGCAGATTTAAATCCAAACCTAATAATTCTGTGCTTTCTTTCATACTCTATACCGACTTAAACCACCCATAAACGACTCCGGCTACACAAAACGAGTCAATATAGACTCCCACTCGTCTAGAAGGTATTTTATAACTAGCTTGTATTTACGTTTATTTTACTTATCTTTAGGTGTTTGTTGGAAACAGTGATCAAGACACCGTGGTAAAACATCCTTTGATTCCTCCAATCGAAGCGCGATACATCAGACTGATACCCACAGCATGGAATCACCACATCTCCATGAGGATAGAGCTCTACGGATGTTTTGGTAATTAGCCTTCGGTTTAATTCTCAAAAATTGCCAATTGATAAATTTCTGTACCTGCTTCACGATAAAGTGCCAAAATTTGCGCCTTTAATTTGATTCTTTTGATCGTATAATGAATGTGTACTTTGCCTGGGCGTAAATTCCAACTGTGGCTGCCATTCAGAATTCTGGAGTTAAGTATCGAAGTTTCGCTCGGTCGTCTAAAAATGGCGCAATTTGTCAAAGTATCCTTCATAATTTTTCGTCTAGCGCGCTTAATTTTCTCGGGCCAAACTAACCATTTAGATATGGTATACCCATAGCATAGCTCTTTCTTTAGTAACTCGTACATGTCAAAGAGTTCTGACGTTCTAAATTAGTTGGAATTTGGCTTGTAAATTAAATTGCGATAGTTGTATTTTTCAAACGGCCAAGAGGATTTACTTCAAGTTGACTTTTAGCTCAGAGGAATCATCAAAGCGTAAATTAATTACAAACTGTGTGAATACGAAATCAAGGCAAGTTCCCTTCTCTCTGTACTAGCCTGCTGAAAACTGGCAATTTTGCATAAATTCTATTGGCCATCTTGAGTGATTGAGCGGTATTTCAAACTTTCCTGGACTTCACAAAAATGTGAACTCGCTCGAACTTTTAAGGTATATTTCTGAAACTAGTTCACCAAAAGGGTCTTTTTGACGCAATGAAAGAAAATTCAAATTTTCCGACCTGTCGTCGGATTCTCCATATTTTAGAAACGGGTTTTTGCATTCCGGTTATAAGCCCCTCGGATACAAGTGCCCCTCCCCCTTTATAAGGCCATATATGCATCTAAAAGCCCTTACGAAGTTGTATAATCCCAGGGCTAATAAGCGGCAGTTTACGGTATGTAACTTGAATATGGTTGAGTTAGAGAAAGAAAGAGTGCACTATTCTTTTGAATCTGTTCCGCCATCTTAAATTCTGTAAAATCTACTATACGACAATCATTTGCCTTTTTTTATTGTTTAGAGTGTCTGGCTCCGTTGGGAATGGAAAACTTTAAAATAACTCCCACACAGATAACAGCGTCGTCTCAATATAGTGGAAGTCATATCCCAAACTATGGAAGACTACACTACAAGGGTAATGCCGGCGCGTGGTCAGTAAAAGTGAGAGATCTACATCAGTGGATTCAAATCGATTTTGGAATTGAGACAACTGTCAGTTATGTGGCAACTCAAGGAAGGCATAATATCGAGCAGTGGGTGACCCAATACAAATTACAGTACAGCAACGATGGAAATTCATTTCAGGTTTTAAAACAGCACGGAGAGAATGCAGATAAGGTTAGAATATATACTTAATAACACGAAAAATAATCAACAAACACTAACGGTTAACCAGCTTGTGCCAAAAAGGCTAACTGTCTTGAACAACAAACAACATCGACACTCTAACCACAAGTATTCCTGACACCTGGGATGCCTGGAATTGTCAAAAGTAAACTAACAATATATAAACGCACAGTTTACTTATTTTACAATACACTGCTTTAAACACTTTTACAATGAATGTAAATTACCAAAACCCATTACGCTACTTAAGACGTTCCGACAATATATCATTTACAGACTTGGAACATAACGATCTATGAATTACTATGTTCCGATTATCCTGTTTAACTATATATTTTAACGCATCTATTCTATCTATATTGTGTCTCCCGCGCCATCCATGTGTGAAGAATATAGCCAATCAGAAAGCTGGAAAGCCATTGCATATCAGGCGGTATTGAAAGCATACGGTCTGCTAATCTGAAAAATATGTTAGGGAAGGCTCGAAACAGTCTGACAATTTTCGCTAATGCGGACGTTCCCAGTTTTGTACGATTGTCCCAAGTCGAAACATAAGCCGAAAACTTCTCCTGAGTCGAAAGCATTACATTAGTAATTTGTGTATACGTTTGTTTATTCGTGTTTCTGCAGGTGTTTGTTGGAAACAATGATTCTGACACCGTGGTAAAACATCACTTAACTCCACCAATCAAAGCACGATACATCAGACTGACACCAACAGCATGGAAGGGCCACATCTCCATGAGGATGGAACTCTACGGTTGCCTTGGTAACTGACCCTTTAATCCAACCCTGAAAGTCAACAATCAGTAATTTTTACTTGATTGTACCTTGCCTTGGAAACTGACCCTTTAATCTACCCTTAAACCCAACAATAACTAATTTTTACTTCTTAGTATCTTCACTCTAGGAGAAAGGGCTTTAGAAGACTTGAAAGAGTTTATTACTGCACGGGAGTACGTGCGAGATGTGGGAGACTGGCTACTAGTGAGCATGTTAACGGCTATGAAAATGTTGAAAAAACGAGCAAATCGGAAATTTATCACAAAATTGTAATAATGACCCTTCGCGGCGGTTTGTCTATGGGAACTCATCCCATCAAAGACATTCTTTACGCACAGATCAACGAAGTTCTCAAAACGATTTCCTAAAGCCTATCCGTAATTAAAACCATAGATGTTGAATCTCTTTTTCGTTTCACCCTTAATGTTAACTGCAAGAATTCCTTTTAGTCGCCTCAGTAAAGAGTGATTTGCTGCATCCTGAATCTCTTATTTGTGAGCAGCAGATCTAGATAATTCTGGATTTTTTGTCACCTGTAGAGTGCGTTCGAGTTCGCAAAGCTATACCGGTTATTTGTCACCTTGACGAGCGTCGCGCACTCTTCCGACCACGAAATACAGAAAAAAAAAAAAGATGTAGACACGAAAAAATCGAAAAAAAATCCAAGAAAGCAAGCCAATTGAGGAAAAGACGAAAGTGATAGAAAAAGGGACAAAAAGACAAACGCTTAGTGTATTACTGAGGATCGAACGGAGACGAATTGTTTACACTCACATGTAAGTTATGTTGGTATTTTCTTTTCAACAATGTATAATAAAACAATCATTAAATTCGGTTTTTCGTGATATCCAGAATAATCATGGTCTCGGTAAGTGTTATCAACTGAAACCTGAGACTGATAACGTTCACTTACCGAGACATGGATTATTTTCGATATCAAGAAAAACAGTAGCTTAACCATGAATTGTTTACCGTATACCGTATGATTTGTCATTTTGTAGACGTTATAAAAGCTCTTGGTATGGAAAGCGGTGCTATTGCAGACTCGCAAATAACTGCTTCTTCAGAATATGATATTTACCACAACCCTAAGCGAGCGAGATTGCATACCAAGGAAGCTGGACTCGGAATAGGGACTGGCGCCTGGACAAGTTTGGCAAATGATTTGAACCAATGGCTTCAAGTTGATCTTGGTAAAATCACGCCTGTGACACATGTGGCTACACAGGGAAGGAATACCTGGTCTCCTGCACAGATGGTAACGAAGTACAAGTTGCAGTTTAGCGACGATGAAGTATCATTCTTGTTTTACAAGAGACAAGGAGAATCTTCAGACGCAGTAAATATAAATATTATTTATATATTACAAGATATTCTTTCAAGACATTCATTTTTATTTATCAAGAGCAAGACGAATGATACCTGTCAGACTTATCATACGGCTAACGTGAAGTGCGTCAAGATTACGCGAAATTTCTTTTTATTTCTTTGATGACATCCTCAGCCACATTGACTCAAAGAACGGTTAACACTGAAGAGCCAAGTAAATAATCGTAGCATTTAGCAGGTGCAAGTAATTGGTGTTTGCGTTGCTTTTGCATTTCTACACCAAGGGATTGGTTTAATATATAGATTTAGCCAAGTCTAAAAGCGGAGCGCCTAGTTATAATAAATTACCCCGCCTTCAGCATGCGATCTAATCGAAACCCTGTACCTGGGCAACGGTCAACTTTAAAAAACACGTGACCTCGATGAACTCTAAACATGAGCCTGGAATATGGTCACATGATACCGGTCAGCGGATACCTTGTTTTGATTGGTGTCAATTGAACATGAAAAAGATGCCCAATATCAAAGATGGACGCTGTAAAACCGCTCCTCTCAATCTCTAAGTGAAAGGTTGTTGCAGAGTGTGTCATTTCATATTGATTTACATGAAGAGGGGTATGGACGAATCGTAACTCGCTCGTACGCGTTTCTTTGCACCTCGCACCAGCTACACGTTTCCCACGTCGAGTTTTGCTTGGTTGACTGCGATGTCGGGGCCCTTTTTAATGAAATTTTGTTACTCTGAAATGATATTCTGTAGATTGTTTATCTGCTCTCCCCTCTGATTTTTTTTTTAGGTTTTCGATGGCAATATCGACCGCGACACCGTTGTCTATCACCATCTAAATCCAGCAATCACTGCACGNAAGAACGGTTAACAAGAGCCAAGTAAATAATCGTAGCATTTAGCAGGTGCAAGTAATTGGTGTTTGCGTTGCTTTTGCATTTCTACACTAAGGGATTGGTTTAATATATAGATTTAGCCAAGTCTAAAAGCGGAGCGCCTGATTACAATAAATTACCCCGCCTTGAGCATGTGATCTAATCGAAAACCTGTACCTGGGCAACGGTCAACTTTAAAAAACACGTGACCTTGATGAGCCCTAAACATGAGCCTGGAATATGGTCACATGATACCGGTCAGCTGATGCCTTGTTTTGATTGGTGTCAATTGAACATAACATAGATACCCAATATCAAAGATGGACGCTGTAAAACCGCTCCTCTCAATATCTAAGTGAAAGGTCATGTTGCAGAGTGTTTCATTTCATATTGATTTACATGAAGAGGGGTATGGACGAATCGTAAGTCGCTCGTACGCGTTTCTCTGCACCTCGCAACAGCTACACGTTTTCCCACGTCGAGTTTTGCTTGGTTAACTGCGATGTCGGGGCCCTTTTTGATGAAATTTTGTTACTCTGAAATGATATTCTGTAGATCGTTTATGTGCTCTCCCCTCTGACTTTTTTCAGGTTTTCGATGGCAATATCGACCGCGACACCGTTGTCTATCACCATCTAAATCCAGCAATCACTGCACGTTTCTTACGAATAAAACCAACAGCATGGCAGACTCATATCGTTATGAGGATGGAGCTCTACACTTATCCAGGTATTTTACAGGCCATTTCCGAATTGCTTTTTAACAATGCGTCAAAACGAGTCTTCGGGCGACACCATACATGTGAAAATGCGTTCCGCCCGTAGGCTGACTTTCATGCAAATCAAACTCATTTTCATATGAAAGGTTTTTCACGAGAAGTCGTACTTTTATAAAGAGGCGGAAGGTATCCTGGAAATAGACTATTAATTGATTTTTTTTTCATCATGTTTTCGTAATGTTTGTGACAAATAGACGCGCAAAACGTTTTGTTTTCGTAACATTTTAACATGTGTTTAAATGTGCTACCTTGAACCACAAATCAAAGGGAAAAAACTCGATCAGTTATTATATCCGTGAGCAGGCAAGATGAACCAAATCCCGCGCTGTGATTGGCTACCTGAGCGGGCAAGATGGCGCTATCTTGCTCGCTCGGGACTAAACCTGCTGTATCCCCCAAGAAAAAGTCCTCTGTAAGCCATGTAATAAATTCTTTATTGACCATGCTTGGCCTCGTTCAGTTTTGAGAGTTTATGGACCGAGATGGAGTCGAGGTAAACACGCAAAACCGAACTTGGCCGATATCCAGCTCTCTAGACCTCACAGTAGATCAATAACACATATGTATGGACCTCAAAATCGGTTAGTAAGAGGTATTTGTGATGTATATACCTGACCCGTGTCATTGAGGAATGCCTTTTTGGGGACGAAAAACAAATAAAAATTGACGAAAACTTGTTATAACGAGAATAGTCCAGCCCCTAAGTAAGCATTTGTAACGCTTTTTAAGACAAAATGTTATTTTAATCTTTTCTACAGATACGTAGTCTTGCAATGAGAAGGACATATTTCTTGCAGAGCATGCGCGCTACCACACAGGCCGCTGGAGATTAGCTGGGTACTGGATCGATGGAACTATAAGCCAAATCGGAGTTTCAAGAATTAGTGCACTGTACATGCGTTGTTATCCCTAATTTATTTTCCTCTTTTGTTATTTAGGAAAGAAAACAAAAAAAGAGATTCAATTAAGGATAAGAATGCAAGCACAGTGCTCTAATTCTTGAAATTTTCGATTTGGCCTATTTTGCTAGTGCAATTTTCTGTTGTTAGCAAAGTACTTCCCAATCATTGGCAAACATGCTGATATTTAAAACATTATAATACATTAAAGACATCCTTGATTTTTAAACGCAAGCGTGAGTCTGGTGACTTCTATTTTATTACAGAATTGAAATTAACATTTAAAAATGCTTTTTTGTGCCACGTTTAAACAAATTTTGGGAAAGGCGTTAAGAGTAACTTTCATTTTTTCGAAAAATTCGGGTGACTCTTAACCCGATCCACAATTTTAAGTAAAAGAAAACGAACTTAGAAAAACAGCGACTTTCATATCTAATGGCTCGCGTTATATTTGGGTTTCTGTCCTAGTCTTCGCACTGGAGACACGAAGACGACGGCAGCGACAACTCGCTGAACAAAAGGGGTTATAAGTAGAACAATAGCTGTGCTCGTGCGTTATAAATCTTTGCATAGTTCTTTGCCGTTCTCTGCAAAACAACAACGTGAAGTCACCAAGTTCTGCGTAGTCTAAGGAACGCGAACGACGACGACTAATTTTTCGTGCAGTTCCATTTGGAATTGAGTGCTATCATTTCATATTTAGCCTGAGCACGTTTGCAGAGCTAGTGGTGTACTGAACAGATCTAGACGATCGCGAATTTCGCTGATAAAATATAAATTCATTTTTGACCAGGGGTCGTCCTTGGGGTCGCCGTCATCGTTGCTTAAGTTCCCTATTGATGCTGACAAAGCACGTTTACTAAACACAAGTCAAGCATTTAGCAGTGAACAGCACAGTGAAGATATGACGTCAGAATTTGTCGCCATGGAAGTGCTAAACGCGGCAAAAATGTGCCCTGGTTTTGAATTTAACTTCGATTTGATCTCCGTATCGATTCTAAATTTGGAACAAATGCCTGCAAATCACGTGCTAACCGTCAATCAATGTCAAAGACCAAAAATGCGCTGTCCAGATAAATGCTCCACATTTTGACATAACCTTAATCGATTTGACTTTCTTGTGAGAGATCTTAAGTAAACACCTTTGGAATAAAGGCACTTTCATAAGCTTAGCGTCATGAAATTTAACACGAACGCGGCCTCAGTTTTATAGGTGACCAATTTTCTTTTTTCTTTTTTGGGAAAGGGAATAAAAAGTAGAAATTGCCAGCATTATCTATTAAATGGCCTGAGTATTCGTCAAAATCTTAGCTGTCAGCTAAGAAATGATACGTTTTTGAGCGATAGCTGAAGAATCACTAAAACGTTAACTGATAATTGGATTCCAGCGAGCCATCCAAACCCTCTACATAATAGAACATTACATGGCCGTTTACCACCTAGAAACACAAATTTCATCTTCATCAGGCTCACTCCTAGGAGATGCTATCCGCGCGAATATGTATTTTTTTTAACCTCCAGCTGACATGTAATATTCTCTGTTTGTCTAAACCAAACTTGTTTAATTTGGGTGAAAATGATTGTCCAATGAAACTCCTATTTATATCTAACATTTTACCCCAGTCCTCGTTTAGAAAATGAAGGCAAAGAGGACCTCTGAAATAAATTACAAAATTGAATTCAAATGTAATTTTCTGATTGACGTGTGGATCAATTCGCTATTTCGGAGTCTTTCGGCCTTTTGAGTTACCCTTAAAAAACAGTGGTGCATAATATTTATTCACTGCGAAGAACATGTTTCGCATTGACACGATATTTCTGTTCAACAGGAATGTTTAATTTTCTATTTATAGTTATTCTGTTCCGTTTTCCGTGTAGTACAGGCAAAAATCAACGTTTGATCCAAGGTGGTCATGGTTCAAAGCGATCTAGTTTTCAACACGGAGTGTCGTACGCAAATTTTGTAGTTCACAAGTTTCAGCATCTTCAAGGACCCCTCTTAGTCTCTTCTTGTGGAGTAAATCGGGTTACAGAGTGCGCTTTCGCCTGTGTTGATAATCCGCCCTGTGTTTCGTTCAACGTTGCTTCGTCGCCAAACGAAAGTGGAAAGCTTCGCTGCGAGCTGCTAAGGGAAGACAAGTTTAGAAGTCCTGACAAACTGATCGTTTCGCAACAGTTTCACCATTACAGCATAAAGGTGAGTGATAATTTGAAATCCAGCTTAATATAGCATTAGTCACTACTGCAAAAGAGTTATTTTACTGGCAATGATGTGTGTTTAGAGGGATTTGTTTTCTTGCAAAGAAAAGATGAAAACTGAAATTGGATGGATAAAATAATAGATTTTACGATATGTGTCTTAAGGGTCTGTTACGGGCGGGGAACGGTCTTCTCGGGAGCTGTTTTGAAAGCAAACTCCAGTTACGTCATATATCATATTCTCAACTGTCCTTTCTGAGCCGTTTTAAAATAAAGTTACCATAAAAAGCGCGCTCTGATTGGCTGAAACAGCATACTTTATCAGAGAACAGATGCATGGTAGGCTGCTTGGGAATTTTGACAAATTTGACCCAAATTAAACATGCCCTGTGACTCAGACAAACGCAATGGAAACGAGCTTTTTGTCTGCAATAAATATGGCTACACGAAAGCCATTGTTGACAACAGTAGTGTTAAAATTCTGAACCTAGCAAATGCTTCGATAGGAGATGTTATATTTGTTACGAAGGCAGAAATTATACTAGACATGTAAAACAACGTCAGAAAACATCAATTGAGCTGTCTCTGTTTATGACGCGTCTCCTTGTTTGTTGGAGGTCTTTCTACAATGCACTTGTTATACATTTTCTGCATAGTCGTACGTACTTGTTTGAACAATGCCATATATTTTCATGGTTGTTGTTGTTTGTTTGTTTTTTTTTTTACTGTAGACACCTTGTTCAAAGAATCCCTGCAAAAATGGCGGCAGCTGCATTCCAAATTACGAAGATCACTATCACTGTGTTTGCCCACCGGGCTACACAGGTTTTCATTGCAAGAGAGGTGAATAATACTAGGATTTTCATTCACAGTCATTCTGTGAATGAAATAATAATTTTAGCGAGGATGTGTCATTTTTGCTTTACAGCAATTAGCACAAAACTCAGTTTAAACGTCAATTTATTCAAACACAAACAGGACTAGATGCTTCCGACTAATTGTACATAATAAATACTACCTACTTCACTGTTTTCCTGATTCACTGGTCACNTGTTGCAGAGTGTGTCATTTCATATTGATTTACATGAAGAGGGGTATGGACGAATCGTAACTCGCTCGTACGCGTTTCTTTGCACCTCGCACCAGCTACACGTTTCCCACGTCGAGTTTTGCTTGGTTGACTGCGATGTCGGGGCCCTTTTTAATGAAATTTTGTTACTCTGAAATGATATTCTGTAGATTGTTTATCTGCTCTCCCCTCTGATTTTTTTTTTAGGTTTTCGATGGCAATATCGACCGCGACACCGTTGTCTATCACCATCTAAATCCAGCAATCACTGCACGTTTCTTACGAATAAAACCAACAGCATGGCAGACTCATATCGTTATGAGGATGGAGCTCTACACTTATCCAGGTATTTTACAGGCCATTTCCGAATTGCTTTTTAACAATGCGTCAAAACGAGTCTTCGGGCGACACCATACATGTGAAAATGCGTTCCGCCCGTAGGCTGACTTTCATGCAAATCAAACTCATTTTCATATGAAAGGTTTTTCACGAGAAGTCGTACTTTTATAAAGAGGCGGAAGGTATCCTGGAAATAGACTATTAATTGATTTTTTTTTCATCATGTTTTCGTAATGTTTGTGACAAATAGACGCGCAAAACGTTTTGTTTTCGTAACATTTTAACATGTGTTTAAATGTGCTACCTTGAACCACAAATCAAAGGGAAAAAACTCGATCAGTTATTATATCCGTGAGCAGGCAAGATGAACCAAATCCCGCGCTGTGATTGGCTACCTGAGCGGGCAAGATGGCGCTATCTTGCTCGCTCGGGACTAAACCTGCTGTATCCCCCAAGAAAAAGTCCTCTGTAAGCCATGTAATAAATTCTTTATTGACCATGCTTGGCCTCGTTCAGTTTTGAGAGTTTATGGACCGAGATGGAGTCGAGGTAAACACGCAAAACCGAACTTGGCCGATATCCAGCTCTCTAGACCTCACAGTAGATCAATAACACATATGTATGGACCTCAAAATCGGTTAGTAAGAGGTATTTGTGATGTATATACCTGACCCGTGTCATTGAGGAATGCCTTTTTGGGGACGAAAAACAAATAAAAATTGACGAAAACTTGTTATAACGAGAATAGTCCAGCCCCTAAGTAAGCATTTGTAACGCTTTTTAAGACAAAATGTTATTTTAATCTTTTCTACAGATACGTAGTCTTGCAATGAGAAGGACATATTTCTTGCAGAGCATGCGCGCTACCACACAGGCCGCTGGAGATTAGCTGGGTACTGGATCGATGGAACTATAAGCCAAATCGGAGTTTCAAGAATTAGTGCACTGTACATGCGTTGTTATCCCTAATTTATTTTCCTCTTTTGTTATTTAGGAAAGAAAACAAAAAAAGAGATTCAATTAAGGATAAGAATGCAAGCACAGTGCTCTAATTCTTGAAATTTTCGATTTGGCCTATTTTGCTAGTGCAATTTTCTGTTGTTAGCAAAGTACTTCCCAATCATTGGCAAACATGCTGATATTTAAAACATTATAATACATTAAAGACATCCTTGATTTTTAAACGCAAGCGTGAGTCTGGTGACTTCTATTTTATTACAGAATTGAAATTAACATTTAAAAATGCTTTTTTGTGCCACGTTTAAACAAATTTTGGGAAAGGCGTTAAGAGTAACTTTCATTTTTTCGAAAAATTCGGGTGACTCTTAACCCGATCCACAATTTTAAGTAAAAGAAAACGAACTTAGAAAAACAGCGACTTTCATATCTAATGGCTCGCGTTATATTTGGGTTTCTGTCCTAGTCTTCGCACTGGAGACACGAAGACGACGGCAGCGACAACTCGCTGAACAAAAGGGGTTATAAGTAGAACAATAGCTGTGCTCGTGCGTTATAAATCTTTGCATAGTTCTTTGCCGTTCTCTGCAAAACAACAACGTGAAGTCACCAAGTTCTGCGTAGTCTAAGGAACGCGAACGACGACGACTAATTTTTCGTGCAGTTCCATTTGGAATTGAGTGCTATCATTTCATATTTAGCCTGAGCACGTTTGCAGAGCTAGTGGTGTACTGAACAGATCTAGACGATCGCGAATTTCGCTGATAAAATATAAATTCATTTTTGACCAGGGGTCGTCCTTGGGGTCGCCGTCATCGTTGCTTAAGTTCCCTATTGATGCTGACAAAGCACGTTTACTAAACACAAGTCAAGCATTTAGCAGTGAACAGCACAGTGAAGATATGACGTCAGAATTTGTCGCCATGGAAGTGCTAAACGCGGCAAAAATGTGCCCTGGTTTTGAATTTAACTTCGATTTGATCTCCGTATCGATTCTAAATTTGGAACAAATGCCTGCAAATCACGTGCTAACCGTCAATCAATGTCAAAGACCAAAAATGCGCTGTCCAGATAAATGCTCCACATTTTGACATAACCTTAATCGATTTGACTTTCTTGTGAGAGATCTTAAGTAAACACCTTTGGAATAAAGGCACTTTCATAAGCTTAGCGTCATGAAATTTAACACGAACGCGGCCTCAGTTTTATAGGTGACCAATTTTCTTTTTTCTTTTTTGGGAAAGGGAATAAAAAGTAGAAATTGCCAGCATTATCTATTAAATGGCCTGAGTATTCGTCAAAATCTTAGCTGTCAGCTAAGAAATGATACGTTTTTGAGCGATAGCTGAAGAATCACTAAAACGTTAACTGATAATTGGATTCCAGCGAGCCATCCAAACCCTCTACATAATAGAACATTACATGGCCGTTTACCACCTAGAAACACAAATTTCATCTTCATCAGGCTCACTCCTAGGAGATGCTATCCGCGCGAATATGTATTTTTTTTAACCTCCAGCTGACATGTAATATTCTCTGTTTGTCTAAACCAAACTTGTTTAATTTGGGTGAAAATGATTGTCCAATGAAACTCCTATTTATATCTAACATTTTACCCCAGTCCTCGTTTAGAAAATGAAGGCAAAGAGGACCTCTGAAATAAATTACAAAATTGAATTCAAATGTAATTTTCTGATTGACGTGTGGATCAATTCGCTATTTCGGAGTCTTTCGGCCTTTTGAGTTACCCTTAAAAAACAGTGGTGCATAATATTTATTCACTGCGAAGAACATGTTTCGCATTGACACGATATTTCTGTTCAACAGGAATGTTTAATTTTCTATTTATAGTTATTCTGTTCCGTTTTCCGTGTAGTACAGGCAAAAATCAACGTTTGATCCAAGGTGGTCATGGTTCAAAGCGATCTAGTTTTCAACACGGAGTGTCGTACGCAAATTTTTTAGTTCACAAGTTTCAGCATCTTCAAGGACCCCTCTTATTCTCTTCTTGTGTAGTAAATCGGGTTACAGAGTGCGCTTTCGCCTGTGTTGATAATCCGCCCTGTGTTTCGTTCAACGTTGCTTCGTCGCCAAACGAAAGTGGAAAGCTTCGCTGCGAGCTGCTAAGGGAAGACAAGTTTAGAAGTCCTGACAAACTGATCGTTTCGCAACAGTTTCACCATTACAGCATAAAGGTGAGTGATAATTTGAAATCCAGCTTAATATAGCATTAGTCACTACTGCAAAAGAGTTATTTTACTGGCAATGATGTGTGTTTAGAGGGATTTGTTTTCTTGCAAAGAAAAGATGAAAACTGAAATTGGATGGATAAAATAATAGATTTTACGATATGTGTCTTAAGGGTCTGTTACGGGCGGGGAACGGTCTTCTCGGGAGCTGTTTTGAAAGCAAACTCCAGTTACGTCATATATCATATTCTCAACTGTCCTTTCTGAGCCGTTTTAAAATAAAGTTACCATAAAAAGCGCGCTCTGATTGGCTGAAACAGCATACTTTATCAGAGAACAGATGCATGGTAGGCTGCTTGGGAATTTTGACAAATTTGACCCAAATTAAACATGCCCTGTGACTCAGACAAACGCAATGGAAACGAGCTTTTTGTCTGCAATAAATATGGCTACACGAAAGCCATTGTTGACAACAGTAGTGTTAAAATTCTGAACCTAGCAAATGCTTCGATAGGAGATGTTATATTTGTTACGAAGGCAGAAATTATACTAGACATGTAAAACAACGTCAGAAAACATCAATTGAGCTGTCTCTGTTTATGACGCGTCTCCTTGTTTGTTGGAGGTCTTTCTACAATGCACTTGTTATACATTTTCTGCATAGTCGTACGTACTTGTTTGAACAATGCCATATATTTTCATGGTTGTTGTTGTTTGTTTGTTTTTTTTTTTACTGTAGACACCTTGTTCAAAGAATCCCTGCAAAAATGGCGGCAGCTGCATTCCAAATTACGAAGATCACTATCACTGTGTTTGCCCACCGGGCTACACAGGTTTTCATTGCAAGAGAGGTGAATAATACTAGGATTTTCATTCACAGTCATTCTGTGAATGAAATAATAATTTTAGCGAGGATGTGTCATTTTTGCTTTACAGCAATTAGCACAAAACTCAGTTTAAACGTCAATTTATTCAAACACAAACAGGACTAGATGCTTCCGACTAATTGTACATAATAAATACTACCTACTTCACTGTTTTCCTGATTCACTGGTCACGAACAGACTATATATATCCTAAAAAAAATCACGCGCTCTACACTGAAGTTATATTTTTTACCAGCGGGTTAGTCACTTAGTGAACATAAAACCACGTCAAAACAATCATAATAAACGTGTGTTTGAATGTTATTATCAGTCCTCACTTTCAATTTCGGACTTTTATCTGTCGTCGCTTTTTCCAAAACAAAGTCAAAGTACGTGTATTAAATTTTGGGTGGCCGCTCAACCGGTAAGGAAAATAGAAAACCCTCATCGGGACGATTAAAAGATGGTTTTGTATACAGTATTTTACTGACAATACTTTCGGGACTGATATCTGTCCGCTTACTGTAGGTGGTAACCGTTTAATAGGGCCTTGACTGTAGTTAAAAATTATTCAACGAGGTGGAGCTGAATAAAACTTGCCAATCAGTTCTAAGCTAGTCATTCAACGCGCGTGTAAAGCACTACTCACTTGTATACATAACCTGAATATGGTTAAGTTCAAAATAACATAGTTTACTGTGCTCGTGAATCTATCTTGCAACCTACCTTGTGTAAAACCATTCTATATGACAATCATCTGCGATTTGTTTTGCTGTCTAGAGTGTCTGGCTCCTTTGGGAATGGAAAACTTTAAAATAACACCGACACAGATAACAGCGTCGTCTCAGTATAACAGAAGTCATGCCCCAAACCACGGAAGACTACACTACAAGGGTAATACCGGTGCATGGGCAGCGACAGTGAATGATATGAATCAGTGGATTCAAATCGATTTTGGAATTGAGACAAATGTCACTTATGTGGCAACTCAAGGAAGATATAATAGCGAGCAATGGGTTATCAGGTACAAGTTACAGTACAGCAACAGCAACGATGGAAATTCATTTCAGGTTTTAAAACAGCGAGGAGACAACACAGACAAGTTGAGAATATTTCCTTTACAATACGAAAACAAATCAATAAACTGTTACGGGTGATCAGCTTATTTCAGACAAAACAGATATACTAACAGCGTCTTGAAACATAACAAAACATATATCTTGGTTGAATAATAAGCAGCCATCGCTAGCACTCTTCACACTAGAATTTCTCACACCTGGAATTGCCAAAAGTAAACTAACAATATATGTAAACACACAATTAACTCATTTTACAATACACTGCTTAAAACACTTTCACAACTACATTACACTACCAACAATTCCATCCATTGCGCCACTTGGAACGTCCCGACAATATATCATTTACATACCTGGAACATAATTAATGATCTATGAATTGCTATGTTGCAATTTTCCTGTTCGACTAAATTCATCGTATCTATTTTATCTCTATTGTCTCTTGCGACATCCACGTGTGAAGAATAGAGCCAATCAGAAAGCTGGAAAGCCATTGCATATTGGGCAGTATCCGAAGCACATGGTTATGTAAGTTAAAAAGATTTGTTAGGTTCGAAAGGGTTTGACAATCTTCGCAAATCAAGAACGTTCCCAGAGGACAGAATCTCAACAACAACCAAGCATTTTATTTTGCCAAATTTTAATACAAAAAGACAACAGCATAAAAACAAATCGCTTTTGCCCGATTCTCTAAAGTCGAAATATGAGCCGACAACTTCTCCTGAGTCGAAAGCATTACATAAGTAATATGTATATATACGTTTGTTTATTCGTGTTTCTGCAGGTGTTTGTTGGAAACAATGATTCTGACACCGTGACAAAACATCACTTAGCTCCACCAATCAAAGCACGATACATCAGACTGACACCCACAGCATGGAACGGCCACATCTCCATGAGGATGGAGCGCTACGGTTGTCTTGGTAACTATTCCTTAAATCCAACCCATAAACTCAACAATGACTAATTTTTACGTAGTTTAAGGCCACAGTTAGGTTTTAACGTCCTTAGCATTTTAAAGCAGAATTGGTGCTTCTGACGGGTCACGTGACATGTCGTATGACGTTTAGCGTAAAATAGCCTTTATTTGAGGAATTGCCGGTTTTCATGTGACGTCATCATTTTCCAAACTTAGAAATAACCAATCCTTTTGAAGTTTTAGTTTCGTCATATAGAAGACCTACCAAGAACCTGACGTTTTACAACGTGTAAGCTCGACGGGGTTCTTTATTTTGTTACAGAGGGCGTTTTTGCGTTGCGTGACATTAAAATGGCGGCCCAAGAGGGCTTCCGCGTATGTCAAAAGAGGAGTTATCGTTCACGTTTCTGCTAACTGAACAGTCCTTGTACTAGAAGAATTATTGCTTTCAATGTGTGGGAACTCCAGACGGAGTTACAAGTTTTCGTTTCAATGGTGAAACTTAATGACAGATGTTTCTGTTACTTTACGGCCGCTATGTTGGTGCTTCTCGGAAGGACATCAACATGGCGACTCCAAACAAAGCTCTATAAATTTGAGTGAAACACTTTTCCGAATAAGGTGCGAATAAAAAGCCACACACACCTAAATCTTGGCGAGGTTGTTTATATATCAATCACCTATCTTATCCCAGATTCTTGACAAAATTTCTCGAATGATTCCGATTTATATTTTTGATTGCGTGACAGTGGAAAGCGGCAATTGGTGGCGGCTTTTAGTAATATCATTCAGCAAAAACGCGTTTTAGATGCAGGTCAATTATTTCTATCCTCTCGCGTTTGGAATGACCGTCCCTCTTTAAGTAGAAAAACCTTATAGGGTCAAAGGTAATTTTTTTTAAACAAAATTTGACGTGAAGGCAAGGCAGGACGCCGGCTTTTATAATCAGAGAAAACTTCAGCATGGTGAAACAAATGTAACAAGAGATATAGCTGCATAACCATAGTTCAACTTTACATTCCTGACCCAGGCCTTAAACTGCTTGAATCATTTGAACTTTCACCCCGGGAGAAAGAGCTTTAGGAGCCTCGAAAGAGATTATGACTGCAGTGCGTGCGAGACGTGGGAGACTAGTCACGAGGGAGCAAAACAAAACCAACCTATGTAACGTCTATGAAAATGTTGAAAAAAAACTAGTAAATCGGAAAGTTTTTTCAAAATTTTGCTCATGACCCTTCGCGATATTTTTCTTATTTGAACGCATCTCACTATAAACAGTCTTTACGCACAGATCAACGAAGTTCTCGTGACGATTTCCCAAAGCCTATCCGTAATTAAAACCACAAATTTTTAATATCTTTTTCATTTTACACTTAATGTTAACTGCAAGAATTCCTTTTTAGCCTCCTCAGTACGTAAAGGGTGACTTTGCTGCATCTTTAATCCCTATTTTGTGAACTGCAGATCTAGATAATTCTGTGAACACCTGTCGAGTGCAGTTGCATGGCTACAAAGATTTTCTAGTGTTATAGTGCGGGGCAGGGATAGCGCAGTGGTGAGAGCGCTCGCCTCTCACCAACGCCGGCAGCCCGGGTTCGATGCCGATGTGGTGCTACGTTTGAGTTGAGAATATCGTTGGTTCTCGCCTTGCTCCGAGGGATTTTCCGCGGCCTTCGGTTTTCCTCCCTCCAAAAAAAAAACAAACATCTCCAAATTCTAATTCGACCAGAATAGAGCGCCTGCATGAAAACCAGCTAAGGCTGATGTGGCTTTCTCTCTAAATATTGTAATTCAAATATTGTAATTTATGCGCACTTCTAACAACGAAATGCAAAAAAAAAGATGTTTACACGAAAAATCCCAAAATAGCCGAGAAGAAGCCAATTGAGGAAGTATTAAGAAAATCTGATAACGAAAGTGATCGAAAAAGAGACAAACGTTCAGTTCCTTAGTGAGGAACGAAGTCTCCATTAGACTAAATTGTTTACACTTACAAGTAAATTTAAAAGTAAATTTTGCTTAAACTTNACCCCAGTCCTCGTTTAGAAAATGAAGGCAAAGAGGACCTCTGAAATAAATTACAAAATTGAATTCAAATGTAATTTTCTGATTGACGTGTGGATCAATTCGCTATTTCGGAGTCTTTCGGCCTTTTGAGTTACCCTTAAAAAACAGTGGTGCATAATATTTATTCACTGCGAAGAACATGTTTCGCATTGACACGATATTTCTGTTCAACAGGAATGTTTAATTTTCTATTTATAGTTATTCTGTTCCGTTTTCCGTGTAGTACAGGCAAAAATCAACGTTTGATCCAAGGTGGTCATGGTTCAAAGCGATCTAGTTTTCAACACGGAGTGTCGTACGCAAATTTTGTAGTTCACAAGTTTCAGCATCTTCAAGGACCCCTCTTAGTCTCTTCTTGTGGAGTAAATCGGGTTACAGAGTGCGCTTTCGCCTGTGTTGATAATCCGCCCTGTGTTTCGTTCAACGTTGCTTCGTCGCCAAACGAAAGTGGAAAGCTTCGCTGCGAGCTGCTAAGGGAAGACAAGTTTAGAAGTCCTGACAAACTGATCGTTTCGCAACAGTTTCACCATTACAGCATAAAGGTGAGTGATAATTTGAAATCCAGCTTAATATAGCATTAGTCACTACTGCAAAAGAGTTATTTTACTGGCAATGATGTGTGTTTAGAGGGATTTGTTTTCTTGCAAAGAAAAGATGAAAACTGAAATTGGATGGATAAAATAATAGATTTTACGATATGTGTCTTAAGGGTCTGTTACGGGCGGGGAACGGTCTTCTCGGGAGCTGTTTTGAAAGCAAACTCCAGTTACGTCATATATCATATTCTCAACTGTCCTTTCTGAGCCGTTTTAAAATAAAGTTACCATAAAAAGCGCGCTCTGATTGGCTGAAACAGCATACTTTATCAGAGAACAGATGCATGGTAGGCTGCTTGGGAATTTTGACAAATTTGACCCAAATTAAACATGCCCTGTGACTCAGACAAACGCAATGGAAACGAGCTTTTTGTCTGCAATAAATATGGCTACACGAAAGCCATTGTTGACAACAGTAGTGTTAAAATTCTGAACCTAGCAAATGCTTCGATAGGAGATGTTATATTTGTTACGAAGGCAGAAATTATACTAGACATGTAAAACAACGTCAGAAAACATCAATTGAGCTGTCTCTGTTTATGACGCGTCTCCTTGTTTGTTGGAGGTCTTTCTACAATGCACTTGTTATACATTTTCTGCATAGTCGTACGTACTTGTTTGAACAATGCCATATATTTTCATGGTTGTTGTTGTTTGTTTGTTTTTTTTTTTACTGTAGACACCTTGTTCAAAGAATCCCTGCAAAAATGGCGGCAGCTGCATTCCAAATTACGAAGATCACTATCACTGTGTTTGCCCACCGGGCTACACAGGTTTTCATTGCAAGAGAGGTGAATAATACTAGGATTTTCATTCACAGTCATTCTGTGAATGAAATAATAATTTTAGCGAGGATGTGTCATTTTTGCTTTACAGCAATTAGCACAAAACTCAGTTTAAACGTCAATTTATTCAAACACAAACAGGACTAGATGCTTCCGACTAATTGTACATAATAAATACTACCTACTTCACTGTTTTCCTGATTCACTGGTCACGAACAGACTATATATATCCTAAAAAAAATCACGCGCTCTACACTGAAGTTATATTTTTTACCAGCGGGTTAGTCACTTAGTGAACATAAAACCACGTCAAAACAATCACAATAAACGTGTGTTTGAATGTTATTATCAGTCCTCACTTTCAATTTCGGACTTTTATCTGTCGTCGCTTTTTCCAAAACAAAGTCAAAGTACGTGTATTAAATTTTGGGTGGCCGCTCAACCGGTAAGGAAAATAGAAAACCCTCATCGGGACGATTAAAAGATGGTTTTGTATACAGTATTTTACTGACAATACTTTCGGGACTGATATCTGTCCGCTTACTGTAGGTGGTAACCGTTTAATAGGGCCTTGACTGTAGTTAAAAATTATTCAACGAGGTGGAGCTGAATAAAACTTGCCAATCAGTTCTAAGCTAGTCATTCAACGCGCGTGTAAAGCACTACTCACTTGTATACATAACCTGAATATGGTTAAGTTCAAAATAACATAGTTTACTGTGCTCGTGAATCTATCTTGCAACCTACCTTGTGTAAAACCATTCTATATGACAATCATCTGCGATTTGTTTTGCTGTCTAGAGTGTCTGGCTCCTTTGGGAATGGAAAACTTTAAAATAACACCGACACAGATAACAGCGTCGTCTCAGTATAACAGAAGTCATGCCCCAAACCACGGAAGACTACACTACAAGGGTAATACCGGTGCATGGGCAGCGACAGTGAATGATATGAATCAGTGGATTCAAATCGATTTTGGAATTGAGACAAATGTCACTTATGTGGCAACTCAAGGAAGATATAATAGCGAGCAATGGGTTATCAGGTACAAGTTACAGTACAGCAACAGCAACGATGGAAATTCATTTCAGGTTTTAAAACAGCGAGGAGACAACACAGACAAGTTGAGAATATTTCCTTTACAATACGAAAACAAATCAATAAACTGTTACGGGTGATCAGCTTATTTCAGACAAAACAGATATACTAACAGCGTCTTGAAACATAACAAAACATATATCTTGGTTGAATAATAAGCAGCCATCGCTAGCACTCTTCACACTAGAATTTCTCACACCTGGAATTGCCAAAAGTAAACTAACAATATATGTAAACACACAATTAACTCATTTTACAATACACTGCTTAAAACACTTTCACAACTACATTACACTACCAACAATTCCATCCATTGCGCCACTTGGAACGTCCCGACAATATATCATTTACATACCTGGAACATAATTAATGATCTATGAATTGCTATGTTGCAATTTTCCTGTTCGACTAAATTCATCGTATCTATTTTATCTCTATTGTCTCTTGCGACATCCACGTGTGAAGAATAGAGCCAATCAGAAAGCTGGAAAGCCATTGCATATTGGGCAGTATCCGAAGCACATGGTTATGTAAGTTAAAAAGATTTGTTAGGTTCGAAAGGGTTTGACAATCTTCGCAAATCAAGAACGTTCCCAGAGGACAGAATCTCAACAACAACCAAGCATTTTATTTTGCCAAATTTTAATACAAAAAGACAACAGCATAAAAACAAATCGCTTTTGCCCGATTCTCTAAAGTCGAAATATGAGCCGACAACTTCTCCTGAGTCGAAAGCATTACATAAGTAATATGTATATATACGTTTGTTTATTCGTGTTTCTGCAGGTGTTTGTTGGAAACAATGATTCTGACACCGTGACAAAACATCACTTAGCTCCACCAATCAAAGCACGATACATCAGACTGACACCCACAGCATGGAACGGCCACATCTCCATGAGGATGGAGCGCTACGGTTGTCTTGGTAACTATTCCTTAAATCCAACCCATAAACTCAACAATGACTAATTTTTACGTAGTTTAAGGCCACAGTTAGGTTTTAACGTCCTTAGCATTTTAAAGCAGAATTGGTGCTTCTGACGGGTCACGTGACATGTCGTATGACGTTTAGCGTAAAATAGCCTTTATTTGAGGAATTGCCGGTTTTCATGTGACGTCATCATTTTCCAAACTTAGAAATAACCAATCCTTTTGAAGTTTTAGTTTCGTCATATAGAAGACCTACCAAGAACCTGACGTTTTACAACGTGTAAGCTCGACGGGGTTCTTTATTTTGTTACAGAGGGCGTTTTTGCGTTGCGTGACATTAAAATGGCGGCCCAAGAGGGCTTCCGCGTATGTCAAAAGAGGAGTTATCGTTCACGTTTCTGCTAACTGAACAGTCCTTGTACTAGAAGAATTATTGCTTTCAATGTGTGGGAACTCCAGACGGAGTTACAAGTTTTCGTTTCAATGGTGAAACTTAATGACAGATGTTTCTGTTACTTTACGGCCGCTATGTTGGTGCTTCTCGGAAGGACATCAACATGGCGACTCCAAACAAAGCTCTATAAATTTGAGTGAAACACTTTTCCGAATAAGGTGCGAATAAAAAGCCACACACACCTAAATCTTGGCGAGGTTGTTTATATATCAATCACCTATCTTATCCCAGATTCTTGACAAAATTTCTCGAATGATTCCGATTTATATTTTTGATTGCGTGACAGTGGAAAGCGGCAATTGGTGGCGGCTTTTAGTAATATCATTCAGCAAAAACGCGTTTTAGATGCAGGTCAATTATTTCTATCCTCTCGCGTTTGGAATGACCGTCCCTCTTTAAGTAGAAAAACCTTATAGGGTCAAAGGTAATTTTTTTTAAACAAAATTTGACGTGAAGGCAAGGCAGGACGCCGGCTTTTATAATCAGAGAAAACTTCAGCATGGTGAAACAAATGTAACAAGAGATATAGCTGCATAACCATAGTTCAACTTTACATTCCTGACCCAGGCCTTAAACTGCTTGAATCATTTGAACTTTCACCCCGGGAGAAAGAGCTTTAGGAGCCTCGAAAGAGATTATGACTGCAGTGCGTGCGAGACGTGGGAGACTAGTCACGAGGGAGCAAAACAAAACCAACCTATGTAACGTCTATGAAAATGTTGAAAAAAAACTAGTAAATCGGAAAGTTTTTTCAAAATTTTGCTCATGACCCTTCGCGATATTTTTCTTATTTGAACGCATCTCACTATAAACAGTCTTTACGCACAGATCAACGAAGTTCTCGTGACGATTTCCCAAAGCCTATCCGTAATTAAAACCACAAATTTTTAATATCTTTTTCATTTTACACTTAATGTTAACTGCAAGAATTCCTTTTTAGCCTCCTCAGTACGTAAAGGGTGACTTTGCTGCATCTTTAATCCCTATTTTGTGAACTGCAGATCTAGATAATTCTGTGAACACCTGTCGAGTGCAGTTGCATGGCTACAAAGATTTTCTAGTGTTATAGTGCGGGGCAGGGATAGCGCAGTGGTGAGAGCGCTCGCCTCTCACCAACGCCGGCAGCCCGGGTTCGATGCCGATGTGGTGCTACGTTTGAGTTGAGAATATCGTTGGTTCTCGCCTTGCTCCGAGGGATTTTCCGCGGCCTTCGGTTTTCCTCCCTCCAAAAAAAAAACAAACATCTCCAAATTCTAATTCGACCAGAATAGAGCGCCTGCATGAAAACCAGCTAAGGCTGATGTGGCTTTCTCTCTAAATATTGTAATTCAAATATTGTAATTTATGCGCACTTCTAACAACGAAATGCAAAAAAAAAGATGTTTACACGAAAAATCCCAAAATAGCCGAGAAGAAGCCAATTGAGGAAGTATTAAGAAAATCTGATAACGAAAGTGATCGAAAAAGAGACAAACGTTCAGTTCCTTAGTGAGGAACGAAGTCTCCATTAGACTAAATTGTTTACACTTACAAGTAAATTTAAAAGTAAATTTTGCTTAAACTTTGTTAGTTTGTAGGCCTGGGTGACTAACTGTGGGACATCAGGTTAGTTTTTGGAAGTATTCAATATTTAGACAGAAATCCTTTTAAACGGTCCTTGACCAGACGCTTAAATTTCGTTTCGAGTAAAGGCGACATGCCCATCTTACAATTTTTGGCTTCGCGCTACACAGGAGTTGAAATCGCTGTGAATCGTTCTCAGGTTTAGTTTCATGTACTGGTTCTTCCTCAGTCAAGATATGTTATTATTTTAATCTCTAATTCATCATGAACAAATTGAGGCCTGAATACTTAGATACAATTTCCGCATTTAAGTGGAAAGTCTTAAATAAGCTTAATCTAGTAGGTCAAAAAGCTGACCGGTAGTGCTTCTAATCTCCTGATGGTCTTCTCTGGGCAAGAATGGTGTACATCGTAATTTTGGGTAAGTTTCTTCGACGTTCATAAAAAATATTCACAAGATCCCACAATAATGAAAGCGTAACCCTGGAAAGCTGTGTCTGAAGTTTCTTTTGCCCGCAAATTATCCGAAGATTTGAGACACTACCGGTTTCTAGGTCCTTGTGGCCACATTTTTTGAATTTCCTTCGCCTCTTACCGACATTCACTCTTAATCTCGTTTCTCGAGTCTGTGCAAGCTTGTAGTAATGAGCGACTCTCGAGAGTTCCGTTACAGGCTCGATTTCGATTGCTTTTAGAAACAATGGAAATAAGTGGAAGTAGAACACTAGCATCTCGAATAAGCCACGTGTTTGTCAGTTATGCATTGCGCAAGTCCGATATTTTCGGACTTACAGGGTCGTTCGTTTCCCTGCCGTTGGTTAAGGGAGCAAAGACCCTGGGTACGATGTATAAGTTATGTTCGTTGCACATCAGCATACGTTCGTATTTCTATTTTGCAACAATATAAAACAAAGAAAAAGACTAAATTCGGTTTTTCGTTACATTTAGAATAATCAAGGTCTTGGTAAGTGTTATCAGCCGAATCCAAAGGCTGCCAAAGTTTACCTCGCCCTTGACTATTCTCCATATCACAAAACACATTATCCATTAATTGTTTACTGTGGTCCATGTCTTTTTCATGTTGTAGACGATATGCAAGCTCTTGGTATGGAAAGCGGTGCCATTACAGACTCGCAAATAACTGCTTCTTCACAATGGAACGTTTACCACAGCCCTAAGCGAGCGAGATTGTATACCAAGGAAATGAGACCCAGAAATGAGATAGGCGCCTGGGCAAGCTTGAAAAATGATTTGAACCAATGGCTTCAAGTTGATCTTGGTAAAATCACGCCTGTTACACACGTTGCTACACAGGGAAGGAATTTCCGGTCTCCACCACAGATGGTAACGAAGTACAAGTTGCAGTTTAGCGACGGTGGAGCATCATTTGTGTTTTACAAGAGACAAGGAGAATCTTCAGACGCGGTAAATAGAAATTTTATTACCAGATATCTTCAGCAAGACGAATCAAGTTGCCTGTCAGATTTGTAATAAGACTAACGTCAACTGCGTCAAGATAAAGCGAAATTTCTTTTCAGCGGAGCTCCTGCACGCCGAAGGCGCATGAGTGGAGCCCCATACCTTAGAAAATTTAGTAACCCATCGATCTCACAAAGTTTGGTTCTCACGTGACTGTTCGTACGTACGTTCGTCCGTACGTACGTCCGAACGCTAAGCCCTATTCCTTGAAAAATGAGAGTAGTAGTACCATTACCATAGGTACATCTTTGATATTGGACATCCATGTTATGATTAATTGACAGCTGTCAAAACAAGGTATCAGCTGACCAGTATCACGTTACCATATCGCGAGCTCAGGTTAAGAGCTCATCGAGGTCGCGTGTTTTGTTAAGTTGACCACTGACCAGGTACAGGGTTTTCGATTGGATCGCGGGCTCAAGCCAGGTTATTACTTTGAGGGAGAGGGAGGGATTACAAGCTAAGACAAAATTTCGGCGCAAATTAAACCCTGACGCGTTGTTGACTTTTCCTCCGACATATTCCTCGCACAATCGCCTCATGGAAAGTCCCTGATATATTGCGTACGTAATTTCTACAGTCTTGATCTTGGGTATACTCATTAGGTATGGTTTGCTAAAATGCTTATTTCCTTTCACTCCCTGTGGAACATAGGTCTATGGAAACTTTCCGCCATCTCCTTCTGTTTTGGGTCCAGGGGAAAAAAATCCTCTTTTCTTTTACGATTATTTATTGTAATCAGGAGCTCCGCTTTTAGGCCTGGCTAAATCTATATATATTATTTCTTTGATGACAACCTTAGTCACATTGACTCAAAGAACGGTGCACAAAAGCCGAGTACATGATAATGGCATTTAGTGGGCGATAGACCAGTTTTCACTCGTGTGTCGAGAGAAATTCAAGTATGCGTTGGTTTTGCATTTGTGCACTTAATGATTGGTTTAATATATAGATTTAGCCAAGCCTAAAAGAGGAGCTCCTGGGCCGGGTTGTTCAAAGCCCGATAAAGCTTACCCAGGATAAGCGAGAGGTTTGATTTGAGTTTTGTACCGTTGCGGTGAGGTTTTCTGTTTATATTATTTGGCCTTCTGTTTTTGAGCTTGAATAATCTCAAACTACACAAAACAAAAGCACTGAAAAACATTTGTATACCAGAAAAATTTATACTTCAGTTAACTTTTAACTCTTGGTTAGCGTTAACCGGCTTCCGAATTCGAACAACCCGGCTCTGCAGGGGCCCGTTTCACGAAGGTCCCGAAAAGTTTTCGCACCCGGAAAACCGTAGCAAAAACTCAAACCTTATGATTACCGAGCTGTTTTATTAACATATTCTTAATATGAACAGGGGTTCCCTGCATACAAGAAGTTACAGGCGTATACACTTCTCTGTTTTTAGATACAGATTAACCCAAAATGCCTTTGCAGGCCCGAAAAGTTTCCGGAGCTTTGGAGAAACGGGGCTCAAATCAAAACAAGTTAACCTGTCGTAAGCCCGCGATCCAATGGAAATCTAGTACTTGGTCAGAGGTCAACTTCAAAAAAAAAAAACACGTGATCTCGATCAGCCCTAAGCTTAACCCCATGATATAGTTGGGTGATGCTGGTCAGCGGATACCTTGTTTTGACAGGATGGATGTGCAATATCAAAGAATTACGCTATAAACCAAGGCTGGATGTCTCTGTCAACCTATTAGCTAGCTGAGTATGGGCACCATTTTCCGCGACTACTAGCCATGATACCATTAAATTAATTAATTAATTCATTGGTTTTCTTTTCATGAGTATGGTGCTCCGCTTGGCGGCCCCTCAGGCCGACGGTGTTCCACTATAAACTTACACTGCTGTCTCGACCAATCCGAGATTAAACAAAAAACCAACCGTGACTCGCTCGCAAGCGTTTTCTCGTTTTTTTTCGCGCCAGTTACACGTTTTCCCATGTCGAGTTTTGATTGGTTCACTGTAATGTCGGGGCCCTTTTCAATGAAATTTTGTTACCCTCGGTATGATATTCTGTACATTGTTTATCTACTCATTTCCGCTATGTATATGTTTAGGTTTTCGATGGCAATGTCGACCGCGACACCGTTGTCTATCACCATCTAAACCCACCAATCACGACACGTTTCTTACGAATAAAGCCATCAGCATGGCAAGATCATATCTGTATGAGGATGGAGCTCTACACTTATCCAGGTGCTTTAATTTACTTATTAATTAATTTGTTTATTTATTTACGTTTATTTTCTGTCATCATGTTTTCGTGATATGCAGGAGAAATAGATGTGTAAAACGTTTTGCTTTCGTTAAACTTTGACATTTGTTAGAAACATGCTACCGACTTAGAAATGAATTCGAATTGACTCGTTTTACTTTTGACGTACAGTTATTAAAAAGCCGTTTCGCGCGACTTGAAATGTCTTCGAGAACTTGTCAGACAAAGCAGAGATATAAAAAAAATTCTTGCTTAGACCATAAATCGAAGAAGAAAATCTCGGTCAATAACTTACATTATGGACCTCAAACTTGGTTAGTAAGGGGTATTTGTGAAGTATATACCGCACCCATGTCATTCAGGAATGCCTTTTTAAGAACCGAAATCAAATAACAAGTGGCGGAAACTTGCTATAACGAAAACAGCTTGGCCCTATATATATAAAAGCATTTGAAAACCCTTATAAAAACAAAATGTTATTTTAATCTTTTCTACAGATTGGTAACTTCTTGCAGTTAGAAGGGCGCTTGGAAAGGCGTGATTCTTGAAAAGCATACGCGCAACCATGCAAGCCGTTGGATATTAGCTGAGTACTCGATCGATGGGACTATTTTGCTAACGTCATGTTCTGTTGTTAGCAAAGTACTGCCCAATCATTGGTAATTATGCTATGGTCATTTTTTTTAAAGAAATGTTACCATGTTAATATTATAATGCATTAAAAACATCTCATTTTTTAGTTTAAGTGCTTAAAACTCGAAAGTGAGTCAGGTGACTCCCATTTTATTATAATGGAATTGACATTAACATGTTAATATGCAAATTTTTGCCAATTTTAACATATTGTGGGAAAGGCTTTGAGAATAACTTTCATTTTTCGCAAATGTCCGGAGGTCCTGAAAGGGCCCTAGTCGGCAACTCCTTTGTTTTTGTTTACATGCGAGAGTTTGGCTATTATATTTTATTCGGGGCATGTTGAAACGAAGAAAATCACTGTGAAACTACTAAAGATAATTACACATACTTTCAGGAACTCAACTTACAGTAAAGCAATAAAATTTCGCTTTACCATGCAATATCAATAATTTAGATGGTATCGAAAATGGCGAAGGCTGACAAGAGTCCTTTCAATTGTGTGTCCTAAAACCAAAACCAAAGCGGTCATTCTGGCCATCAGACAATCCAGTGAATCAATCAATACTCGAAGTAATTACATATTGCTGACGCGAAGCGCGGGAAAAAGCATGCGAACGAGTCGCAATTGGTTTTACTTCTGATTGGATAAAAACGTGGCGCGAGTTTTAAAGCCAATAGCATCACTTTTGCAATTTGTGTTACAGTGGTTTTCAACTGAGTGTCGTGAAACCAAAACCAAAGTAGTCATTCTGGCCAATCACAAAGGACACAGACATTTCAGTGAACCAATCAAACTCAAAGCGAATCCATGTAGCTGACCCGAGGCGCGGGAAAACATGTGTGAACGAGTCGCAATTGGTTTTGGTTTTACCTCCGATTGAATGATTAAGTTAAGCGATTTTTTTTAACCCAGTTGCTTAGCACAGTAGTACAAAACCAAAATAACTGCGAATTACTTCCGATACTCAATATTGTAATTATTTGTTTAATTAATAATAATTCTGATCTGTAAATGGAATTCGTGATAATTTTAACATTAGTGCTAATGATAATTTTGTAATTCATTAATGTCTGACAGTATTTTTGTACTTTGTGTCATTGATAATCCTGTGATGAGTGCTAACTAGTGACGTTTTCAAGTAGCGCTAGTAACAATTTTTGTAATATGAAATTAATGTTTGCGAAAGGTTTGTAATTCAGAAGTCTACTATGAGCTCTAAACTTTTAAAAGCAGCTCTTTTATGGGGATCTTTATTGGCTGTTTTTCAAGTTTAACCTTAGGCAATTTGTTCTGATGTTCTCTAGTTTTGCTCCATTTTGGCGTCTCTTTTTTTTTTTTTTGAGTCGGAATAAAGAGCCACAATGCGGTGACAAACGTGACAGAAATGCGTCAGCACGATAAGAAAATACATGTATTTGTAGTTTCTCGTCCTTTGCGTTGAAAAACCTTGAGCTTCGATCAACCGGCGCTTATCTAACACTACCCATAATCTAACTTTCGGCATCGTGCGAAACAGCTGTAAACAAGCACCTATGACCTGCAGCATCCATATCTAACGTCCGCGATTCAACGTATTTTTGTATTGTACAAATAAGTTAACCACTAGAATAGTGTTTCCGCTGACCGCATGTAGTGCAAATAGCAAGATAGATAGATACAAGTTTATTATGTCAATACACTTAGCTATAAGAGTTTCAAGAGCTGCGTAAGCTCACCTGCTTGTTTACATGATTACACATTATTTTGTACTATGCACATTACATTATCTATCAGATTTGTTATATTTATGAATTTTGTATTATGCATCAATCTGAGCAAATCAATTTGAGTTTATTGTAAAAGAACCTAGGTTGACATTTCCTTGGAATAAAGAAACTTTCATTAGTTAAGCGTCATGACTTTTATCCCATACTCAGCCTCAGTTTTATATATAGGTGACCACTTTTGCATGCATACGGCTGAAAAATGTATAAACTGTGAAACTTTCATCATTATCTAAATAACGGGCCTACATGGAATTTAATTGACAGCTCGAGAGTTCAACAAAGTGTTAAGCTAAGAAATGACGAGTTTTTTCACTGATAGCTGAGAAATCATTGAAACTTTAACTGTTAATTGAAATTCCAGCGGGCCATCCAAACCCTCTACATAATGAACAGAACATTACATGCATGGCTGTTTGCCGCTTAGTAACACGAATTTCATCTGTTCTGGGCTCACTCTTTAAAATACTATCCGCTAGAAATATATTTTTTTCTATCTCAAAGCTGTCACGTATAATTCTCTATTTGTCCAACGCAAACATCTGTGGAATTTGGATAAAAATGATTTTGCAACCAAAATTCATTTCCATTTCAAACGATTTTGCCCCAGGTCTCGTATGCAAAATGAGGGCAAGGAGAAAATCTTAAATTACTTACCGAATTTGACTGGAATGTCATTCGCTGATTGGCTGATTGACATGTCGATCGATTCGCTCTTTCGGCGTTTTGAGTTTACCTTAAAGAAAATAATGTTGCATAATATATATTCAGTCGAAGAACATATTTCGTGTTAAAACGATTTTTCTGCTAAACGGAAATGTTTAAATTTCTATTTACAGTTGTTCTGCTCCGTTTTTCTAGCAGTGCAGGCCGGGATCAACATTTGATCCGATCTAGTCATCTACAGGGGATTTCTCACGCAAATTTTGTAGTTCACAAGTTTAAGCATCTTCAAGGGTCCCTCTTAGACTCTTCTTGTGAAGTTGCTCACGATGATGAGTGCGCTTTCACCTGTGTTGATAATGCGCCCTGTGTTTCATACAATCTTGCTCTGTCGCCAAACGAAAATGGAAAGCTTCGCTGCGAGCTGCTAAGTGAAGACAAGTTCAGAAGTCCTGATAAACTTATCGTTTCGCAACAGTTTCACCATTACAGCTTAAAGGTAAGTGCTAATTTGAAATCCAGCTTAATATAACATTTAGCCACTATTACGTAGAGTTGTTTTACCAGCAATGATATGCACTTGGACGGACATCCCAGTTGCTGTAAAGAAAAGGAGAAAAATCAGAGTGGATAAATGAAATAATTAATTAGTGGAGTCATTTGCACGAGGGCATTTTCGCGGGGGCTATTTCGAAAAAAAACCCTACATTTTGTGCCGTAAATCGTTCTAAAGCTTATAAAGCAACATAAAACACCGAACAACATATGCACATTGAGTTTCGCCCAGTTTAATTGCAATGGCGTGATGTTTGGTAAAGCGAATTGTAAATGCAAATCAGGCTCTTTGGCCCTACCAAGTACACAGTGTTTTTGAGAATCGACAGAACGAAGAAGATCTTTTTCTGCTATCGAAAGAAAATAATGAAACTATTTCACCGAAGATCTCAATATTTAGAAAAAGGTGATCCATGAGCCTATACTTCAGGACCTCAAGTTAAATGTCGGTCCGTATTTTAATTTTCAAAAGAGGGTATTGCAATTAATAATTTAGTAAGCGCAAAACTGCTTCAAAACGTTAATAACAGCCGAATGCTGTTTAGAAATAATGTAATTACTTGAGATATTTTTTCGCTGGAGACCTTTTTACAGTCCAATTTTGATACATTCTTTGATTTTCTCGTACATACTTGTTGCAGCAATAATGTATTTTTCCATGGTTATCTTTTTACTATAGACACCTTGCTCAAGAGATCCTTGCAAAAATAACGGAAGCTGCATTCCAAATTACGAAGAGGATCAATACCATTGTATTTGCGCGCCGGGCTTTATAGGTCTTCATTGCACGAAAGGTGAATAAAACTATAAATAAATAAATAAAAAATACCAGAAATACGTATGAATGAGTTAACTCAAGTGGCAAGGAACTCTGCAGTTATTTTATTTTTATCGAATTTTTAACCATGCCTTGCTACAAACCAAATATTTTTAAAAGAAAGAGTAGCTTTGTTGTTTTGTTTTCAATTTCCATCGTATTGTAAACTCATGGAAATATAGGACCCCAAATTAAAATTGTTAATCCCGAAGGAAATGTATGCCAGGGACACCGCTTGCCCTCTGGGGCCCATATTTTTATGAGTTTGCAACACATTCTTATGAAAATTCGAATATTTACCAAATTTGTCGTAGTAAATTGATCTATGGAGGTGTCTTTTTTGTTTGTATGAAAAATACGAAAAAATGTCTTCTGCCTTTGCGGAAAACATTTAATTTTCTGGATAGCAAATATGCTTCAGTTAACTTTTACGCTTTCATGGTTTAACTTGAAAGAGTTGTATTAGCCTTGAATCTATTTAGTTTGAGTAATTTAGCTTGAGTAAAACCTAAGATCATCCTATGACTTCCAACTTTGTTACTATTAGAGTGTCTAGCTCCCTTGGGAATGGAAAACTATCAAATAACAGCAGCACAGATTTCAGCGTCCTCTCTATTTGATGGAAATGTTGTCCCAAGCCACGGAAGACTACATTACATGGGTAATGTCGGCGCATGGATAGCAAAGGTGAATGATCTGCATCAGTGGTTTCAAATCGACCTTCGAGTTGAGGCAAATGTCACTTTTGTGGCAACCCAAGGAAGGTATGCGGACCTTTACCAGCGGGTGACACAATACAAATTACAATACAGCAAGGATGGACTTTCCTTTCAGATTTATAAGCAGCCTGGAGAGAACTCAAGCAAGGTGAGGGTTGGGATGGGCTTCAAAATATATTTTGGGTTCAGTCCCAGTTTAAGAATCAAATATTCACCTTTGTATACTATATTTAAGAAGAAAGACGCTTAAAACCATACTCTGTTCAGCGATTCGTCACCGTTTACGCCACATAAGGGAGTGCCCCACTCCTCAACTCCCACTCTCGGTCTTGGGACAAACTAACTGTACTCATTGCATCGTGAAACGTCCCAGTTATATAGACTGCATATATGTAACTCGCGTGAGTGATTTCAATTCCATCTTTGAATTGAGACAAATTTCAAGAATTTCAATTGAGAAAACAAAGCAATCAAAACAGGGAAACAAGAAAACGGAGAAAGGAATTGGCATTGAGAGAGAAATAATTCGGTTTGCTGTCTTTGTAAAGTGCGTATTTCACACGAATTTGTATCAGTCTTTAGTATAAATCTACTGGCGGTCTATCACGAGTGCCGTTCGCTGATTAGCTATGCTACTCACCATCTCTATTCTGTGATAGATAGTGAGTAGCGTAGCAGTGTGCCCTTTTTAAAAAATGACGGCCGCATTAGCCTCAGTCGCAAGCTAGTTCGAGTCCAATACTGAGAATAGAAATATGGTCTATTGTGTGCTCTTTGTACTTACTTACTCGCTAGAGTTCAAAACGCTTGCACGCACGAACTACACTATCTATAGTAAGCAGTTGACCTTAAATTTATTTAGTCATGTGCAATGATAAGGGTTAAATTTAAAAAAAAAGTGTTTGACACCATTCCAGCGTTTCTGATTTTAGTGCACTAATAAAATAGTTTTGAACGCCATTTACCACAATGTTTCCTGGATTTAAGTCGTGTTCTTGGTCGCTAGACCACGAACAGTAACTTAGCCTGTGTGGGGTTGAATCACGTGGTCATTGTTACATAACAGGAATTTCTTTTTCCAACAGCGCTCGTCTCTACTTTGAGGCCACAGGACATTTAACAATAAGACTGTTTCCTGCCAAAAGTCTCTGAGCAGGTGTCTCTAGAAAATCCAGTTAATTTTAATTTGTTTCCAGAGAATTCCGAGGGAAACAATTGTGTGTATAAATTGGTGTATAATGTTCTTATTTCAACTATCATTAGGTGTTTGTTGGAAACAGTGATCAAAACACCGTGGTAAAACATCCTTTGATTCCTCCAATCGAAGCACGATACATCAGACTGATACCCACGGTATGGAATCACCACATCTCCATGAGGATGGAACTCTACGGATGTTTTGGTAATTAGCCCTTGCTTTAATCCTTAACGTGGAGGCGCGGTGGCCTCAAGGCTAGGGCGCTCGATTCTCGTCGAGTGGTCCGGGTTCAATTCCTGGCCGAGAACATTGTGTTGTGTTCTTGGGCAAGAGACTTTACTCTCACAGTACCTCTCTTTACCCAGCTGTATAAATGGGTACCGGCGAATTTAATGTTCGGAGTAACCCCACGATGGACTAGCATTCCAATATACTTATGCATGCTACTTTATCAGGTGCAGCAACAAAGCCTGAAAAAAGTTCAATACAGAATCGAATTCCAAGGTAACCAATGACCACTGTGGTACTGGCAAGTGCTCTTCCAACTGAGCTGTCGACTGAAGTCAGTTGTCTACCACACACACACAAAATCCAGTCTAAACAAAAACAGCCTAACAATTGTATTGTTTTGATACTTTTGAAATTTAACTTATTTTTGTGACCTGGCTGTATTTTGCTGATGCAAGAACTGAAGCTTTTTTTATTTTTGATACCACCCTTAGTTGAAGTCCCATGAGTTGGGCCAGGAAAGAGGAAGTTTTTGCCCTTCTAATTAATTTATTTACTTTTTAGTTATTTCCTCACAGTTTTGTAAGCATACTTTGCAGTTTTGTAAACATACTTATATATATATAGAGAGATTCCCTTGGATTGATTTGAGCAAAACGTTCAAAACTACTGAACCAAAAAGAAACTTTAAAATGCCCAGCGCCACTTCACACAATTCAAGATTACACAGATTAATATTAAAATGAACAGCAGATTCTATCGGATAACGAATCCCCAAGTGAATATCAGTTCACAGTTTTGTAGTGGCCGGAAGGAACGACTTTCTATAACGCTCGGCACGAGTAACGCGTTGAGGAAAGCGAGTTCTTTTAATGGGTCTAGTCAATAGGAGTATACTGAGTAAATATAATCCTGAAATTATAAAACTATATCATTTGACACTGCTTCCAGAATAAAAAAGAGCATAATACATAGATTTAACCAGGACTAAAAGCGGAGCTCTTGATTACAATAATTAATATTAACCATAAAGGGAAAAGAGGATTTATTTTTCTTGGGTCAGAAACTCAAAAAATGATCAATTATGAGAGTCTAGTTGCTCAGCTTGTGGTTTCGGTATTTTTTCCAATTAAATTTTAACAAACTATATCCAATAAACGTAACCAAGATTGTAGAAATTACGTGTGCAATGAAAACAAAAAACAACAACAAAGAAATGATTTTGCAAGGAATATGTCGGAAGAAAAGTCAACAACGCGCCAAGGGTTAATTTAAGCCGAAATTTTGCTTTTGCACGTATTCCCTTCTTCTTTCCCAGAGTAATAACCTGGCTTGAGCTCGCGATCCAATTGGAAGCCAGTAACTGGCCAGCGGTTAACTTAAAAAAAAAAACATTCGACTTCGATGAGCTCTAAACCTGAGCCCGCGATATGATCACGAGATACTGGTCAGCAAATGCCTTGTTTTGACAGCTGTCAATTAACCATAATATGGATCTCCAATATCAAAGATGTATCTATGGTAATGGTGATACTTCACAACTATTCGCCAAAGGCGAGGTGAACATTATACACTTAATGTATGGTCCCGAGGGAAACAGTTAGTTTTGTTTTCCCGAAAGTCCTGATGTTTCCCGAGACGAAGGCGAGGGAAACATCAGGTCTCGAGGGAAAACAAAACTAACTAGTTTCCCGAGGGACCATACATTAAGTGCTTTGTTATATATTTAGACTTTCCCTTAAACAATTATATAGCAAAAAC